GTATATCATCACACTGGGTAGTATATCATCACACTGGGTAATATATCATCACACTAGGTAGTATATTATCACACTGGGTAGTATATTATCACACTGGGTAGTATATCATCACACTGGGTAGTATATTATCACACTGGGTAGTATATCATCACACTGGGTAATATATCAACACACTGGGTAGTATATTATCACACTGGGTAGTATATCATCACACTGGGTAATATATCAACACACTGGGTAGTATATTATCACACTGGGTGGTATATCATAACACTGGATAGTATATTATTACACTTGGTAGTATATCATCACAGTGGGTAGTATATCTTCACACCGGATAGTCTAACATCACACTGGGTAGTATATTATCACACTGGGTAGTATATTATCACATTGGGTAGTATATTATCACAATGGGTAGTATATTATCGCACGAGGTAGTATATCATCACACTGGATAGTATATCATCACACTAAGCAGTATATCATCACACTGGATAGTATATCATCACACTAGGCAGTATATCATCACACTGGGTAGTATATCATCACACTGGGTAACATATTATCACACTGGGTAGTATATCATCACACTGGGTAGTATATCATCACACTGGGTAATATATCATCACACTGGGTAGTATATTATCACACTGGGTAGTATATCATCACACTGGGTAGTATATTATCGCACTAGGTAGTATATCATCACACTGGATAATATATCATAACACTGGGTAATATCTCATCACACTGGGTAGTATATCATCACACTGGGTAGTATATTATCGCACTGGGTAGCATATCATCACACTGGGTAGTATATTATCGGACTAGGTAGTATATCATCACACTGGATAATATATCATGACACTGGGTAGTATATCATCACACTGGGTAGTATATCATCACACTGGGTAGTATATCATCACACTGGGTAATATATCATCACACTGGGTAGCATATCATCACACTGGGTAGTATATTATCGGACTAGGTAGTATATCATCACACTGGATAACATATCATGACACCGGGTAGTATATCATCACACTGGGTAGTATATCATCACACTGGGTAGTATATCATCACACTGGGTAGTATATCATCACACTAGGTAGTATATCATCACACTGGGTAGTATATTATCACACTGGGTAGTATATCATTACACTTGGTAGTATACCATCACAGTGGGTAGTATATCTTCACACCGGATAGTCTATCATCACACTGGGTAGTATATTATCACACTGGGTAGTATATCATCACACTGGGTAGTATATCATCACACTGGGTAACATATCATCACAACGGATAGTATATTATCACACTTGATAGTATATCATCACACTGGGTAGTATATCATCACACTGGGTAGTATATAATCACACTTGGCAGTATATCATCACACTGGGTAGTATATCATCACACTGGGTAACATATCATCACAACGGATAGTATATTATCACACTTGATAGTATATCATCACACTGGGTAGTATATCATTACACCGGATAGTATATCACCACACTAGGCAGTATATTATCACACTGGGTAGTATATTATCGCACTAGGTAGTATATCATCACACTGGATAGTATATCATCACACTAGGCAGTATATCATCACACTGGGTGGTATATCATCACACTGGGTGGTATATAATCACACTGGGTAGTATATAATCACACTGGATAGTATATCATCACACTGGGTAGTATATAATCACACTGGGTAGTATACCACCACACTGAATAGTATATCATCACACTGGGTAATATATCATCACACTGGGTAATATATCAACACACTGGGTAGTATATTATCACACTGGGTAGTATATCATCGCACTAGGTAGTATATCATCACAACGGATAGTATATTATCACACTTGAAA